TGGCCTCGCGTTAGATTCTAGAGCTAAAAGTTTTCAACAAGGTCGTTTTAGACCTCAGTTTCAAACTAATTAACTCTGGCTGGAAGTATGTAAGGATCTTAAGTTTTACTAACGTTTATTTTATTTTAAATCTTTACTATCACTTCTTATTTTCTACTTCCGGCCAGAATTATAAGCGTTAAGGTTTTTATGCAAAGTTTGTCTGGCGAACGCCAAGTATTTTAGTTGTGGCTTTTTGCCAAGCGAGAGAGAGGAAGCAGTGAGTCGAAGCAGGCCGCTTACCTTAGAAGTTACGCAGTTGCTTTGGCCTTCCAGGCCAGAGGTTTTAATCCTCTTGATAAATTTTAAAACGTATTGTAGTGTTCACAGTTCACTGTACTACATACGGCTTCCTGTTGATATAAGGCTAATCTTCCACGTTTATTATTTTAAAGTTAAATTAGAGTTTAGTTCTATTTTTATATTTTTTACTTAGACCCCAAGTGCGGGTCTGTGTATTCCGAAGTACGGAAGTTATTGTAAATAGAGAAAATAAAGGGTTTTTATATACCCTTCTTGTTTATCCTGTCTACTTCCCACAATTAGTGAACATAGCTTTAGTAAGCTCTCTGTTCCGAGTCAGGTCCTTGCATGTTCCCGAAGAAGGTAAGAAGGAACATTGATCCTGATAAGCCTACTGAAATTTTAATTATTGAACTTTCGACGCTGTTTGATAAATCGTCTACTTTTCTAGCAATTACTACGGTAAGTTCATTATCTCTACCTTCTACATTTAAGATTTGTAGTTGATAAAAATATGCCTTAGCTATATTTTACAAATTCCCTATTCAATAACATTATATCTTCCTTCGTTAATTTTTAAATCTATCAAAGAACTTATACTATTAGCTTTATTTCTTTAGGTTGCAGTTTTAAAAAATAGCATTCGCCTATAATATTGTTTTTCAAAATAATTCACTCGATGAATCTGCCTTGTAAAATATTCGGGCATGTTTCAAAGATTCTTATTATCGAGTATATGTTTTATTAAAATAGCGGTGTCCTCGTCGCATATCAAACGCAGCATGCAAGCCCCTAAGATCAGAAACAAAAATTCATTCATCAAAGCAATTCCGCGATTACGATCAGTTTTCAATTGGAGTAGCTATATTTGATGTGATATGTTTTAATGAAAAACTGCTATGGATACCTAATATAAAGCTCATTGATATATGTTCTACAAAGCAACATCTGGCTTAAAAAGACAGGACACATGCGATATTAACATCGAGTTCTATGTGAAGGAGGTGGGTGGTTGCAGAACTGCGGTGATTGTGAGTCACCCTTGCTCTAAACTAATAGTTTGATCTTTTGTTAAGTGCATATTAAAATTCCACGCACATGACAAACTTTATTAAACATCATTTATCTCTAATAATTGTTGTAACTTTGTAATATTGTAGTATAATTATCGCCTTGATAACTGTATAAATAATTTTCTTTTTCAGACTGTAGAAAATCAACTAAAAGAGACTTTGGCTGAGAGAGCAAAAATTCGAAATGAGCTCGCTGGATCTAAATCTTGCAATAGCAGGCTAGTGGCGGAAATTTCAGCTCTTAAACAAGAATTGCAGTCATTATACAATAAAGCAAATGATAATAATATTTTAATTGACACGCTTACAGTAAGTCGGATACGCATTCATTATTTCCTCTTATTTCTTTTTAAAACTATATTCATTTTTCTATAAAAAATACTGTTACGAATTTGGTATTTAAAAAGCTAATGTTAGTTCAATTATAAATTAAATGGTTTTATTTCCCCGCACAGTGCAGCGCGTGACGAATATAGAAAGAAAGCTAAGCCGGAAATTGAAAATACAAGAGCGCGTGCATGTAACATTTAAATAAATATCTCTTTTTGATTTCGAGAAAGTACTGGAAAATTCTAGCGCGTGATTTTGAAATCTTATAAAAGGAGGAAAACATCTCAGTTTGTAGTAGTTGTTTAGTTTGTTGTTATTTAGAAAACTGCTCTTGTTGATTGTAGCAAATTCGCGGATTAGCGTTCTTTAGCTGTTTTGAATTACGTCTATTGGACATTTGAGTAGTTAAAAGATAACTACTGTGAGATATTGTAATACTGCATGATAATTTGAGAAAATTTAAGCATATTTGTTGTGATAATAATAAATTTTTGTTCATTTTTCATCGGACTTGTGCATTCATTTCATAACGAACCCGTACGCACGCAACCAATTTTTGGTGTCAGAAGTGGGATTTGAATGCCAATAACAAGAGCGATGGAAGAGCAATTAAGGCAGTTAATATCGCCTTTGCCTCATTTAAAGAAGAAATGAAATTGGGCCAGGAATCCGTTAAAGACGAAATGAAAGCCGTTCAAGCTGGTCAAAAAAGATTGAAGCATGTCAAGAAGAAATGAAAAGAAATTACCTGCATAATAGAAAATAAATTTGAAGCTATGGAAGGCAGAATTGACACAGTTTGAAAATAAAGTTGGACAATTGAAGAAAAGTTTCTTTTCGTAAAAGATCAAATTGAAGAAAGAGTTTCTTCGATGAAAGAAGAAATAGAAAAAAAAGTTTCTTCTGTAAAAGAACATATAGAAGGGAGAATTTCGGCTGTGGAGGAACGAATTGAAGGAAGAGTTTGTGCCGTCCAACACCAAATCGAACAACAAATTGATGAGAGAGTTTCTGCAGTTGCCAAAGAATGGAAACTCTAAAGAAATTCGTAGCGACGGCAGGGAGCAAGAGTGATGATTTTAAATTCTTACCGATGCCTGCTCGTCCATTTCTGAAGCTATCCACATATGATGGGAAGACCATCCTGGCAAGTGTACAAGACCCCAGTTTTTTCTATCGTTGCGGATGCAAATGGATGGGATTCCCAAGCTAAGGCCTGTCATCTCGCCGCTTCTTTAAGAGCCGACGCAGCGGATATTCCTTCAGACTTTTCCCGAAAACAAAAGGTTAGATTTCGAAGCTCTGTCCGGCGCCTTGGAGCTGCTGCGCTTTGGGCGAGAAATGTTTTAAAAAGACTACAGCAGGCTTCAATTAAAAATCCCGTCAACAGAAGCCCACCGAATCACTTCAGGAGCTCGCCACGGATGTTGAAAGGCTGTCCACATCACGCCTTTTCGGAGTGCCCGACAGAAACAAGGGAAATCCTGTCCCTGCAATATTTCATCGATGGGATCCGGGATCACGAAATACAGAAGGCCCTACGAATGGCAGATGTAAAGGATGTAAAAAGCGCTCTGTTGTACGCCGTGAAATTCGAGGCAGCCCAGCAAGCAACTCGGAGAGATAGAGATCGCTCGGAGAACCCAGTCAGAGCTGTGCGAGTCCACGAGCCAGTGGATCAATTGATGGCTCGTTTAGATGATTTATCCAGACAAGTCAATGCTTTGATACGGAGTAGGCAGTGAGAACAAAGTGGCTGTAAGATGTTGGAAGATGTGGTATCTGAAGGTCACCTACGACGGCATTGCAGAACACCCCAGGGCACGGATAATTAAAACGAATGATTGACAAGACCAGTGAATGCTTTAAGACGGAATAGTGGTGAAACGAAACCGACCCTAAAGTGCTGGAATTGCGGTGTTGGTGTTGAAGGCTACATACGAAGGAACTGCAGAACTCCCCAGAGCACACGGAAAATAAGGAGAGGCGGGATTTAAAGCAGACAATTAAATGCCACGGAGAAGGAAAAGGATTGACAAGAAACTAAAGTGCTGGAACTGTGGAGCTGAAGGCCACGTACGAAGAATTGCAGAACACCCCAGGGTACGAAAAATTGAGACAATTTCTGAGCAACGACGCAGGAAACAAATTAAATGACCATATCAAGGAACGGAGGTTGCCAGATAATGAAAAACGCTGTTTTAAAGCGCTTAAGATCTCTATAGTGAGTGGCAACAATAACGGACTGTCCATCAATGGGAATATGGATGGAGTTCCTTGCAATATGATCATTGACACAGGAGCTAATGTTACCATCATTAGGAAAGATTTAGCTGAGCATTTTAAAGATAAACTTATTTGGAACGCCATCCTGTGTTACCCTTCAGACTGCGTCTGGTGACAAGATTCGAGATAACTGGGAAGTTATAAACGTAAAGCATCACGTTTTGGAAGTGCCGCCTACCATCACACGCGGCTTATGTGGAGAATATTACAGATCCATGCATACTCGGATTGGACATTTTAATCGGAAATGGACAATTTTTCCTTAGACTTCAAAAACAACAAAAGCTGCTTTCAGCATTCTGGATGACATGACTGTCCATCATCAGAAGAGATCCTCACCTAGAAATGCGAACGCCTTGTCCGAAACGACCTAGCTCGGGAAGCCGCCGAAATCATACCAGGGTCGAAAACGAAACGCAAGACTACCAGCTATTCTCCATCTCAGAAGCTCTTCCGGTCGAGACCTTCGTCTGCCTTTGTGACCGCCTGTTTGATCGCCATACGGATGCGCCTTCGGATGCGTCTTCATCGCCTGAGGAACACATCCAAGATGCCCAGCCCCGGTTTGAGAGGATGCATCGTTCTGCACGAAAGCGAGTCAACTTGGCGACGGAGAAAATGAAGACCAGATGCGACACAAGAGCTACTAGACAGAGATCCAACAAAGGAGACAAAGTGTGGTTGTGGAACCCAATTCAACGAAAAGGACTGAGTCCTAAATTACAGTCACCTTCGGATGGTCCATATACAGTGCTGAATACGAATGACGTCGTGGTTCGGATCCGTGAGTCTTCGAACTCTTACGACAGGTTAGCTTATTACTATGGCCATAGTAATAATGTAAATAATTGTAAATAGTATAAGACCATGGTCCATTTTGTTTTTTTAATATGTATTTTGATTTGTATTTGATAGCATTTGATTTGTTTTATGTATTGCATTTATTGTTCACGTTTGTTTTATTATTGTAATGTAAGCTTATTAATGCATTTATGCCACAGTTGTAAGTTTAGCTTCCTGTCGAGGGATTGTACTGCCCGGGACGTGCGTCCTTGGGAAGGGGGCAGTGTTACGAATTTTGGTATTTAAAAAAGCTAATGTTAGTTCAATTATAAATTAAATGGTTTTATTTCTCGCGCAGTGCAGCGCGTGACGAATATTAAAAGAAAGCTAAGCCGGAAAATTGAAAAATACAAGAGCGCGTGCATTAAATAAATAAATATCTCTTTTTGATTTCGAGAAAGTACTGGAAAATTCTAGCGCGTGATTTTGAAATCTTATAAAAGGAGGAAAACATCTCAGTTTGTAGTAGTTGCTTAGTTTGTTGTTTATTTAGAAAACTGCTCTTGTTGATTGTAGCGAATTCGCGAATTAGCGTTCTTTAGCTGTTTTGAATTACGTTCTATTGGACATTTGAGTAGTTAAAAGATAACTACTGTGATATATTGTAATACTGCATGATAATTTGAGAAAATTTAAGCATTTTTGTTGTGATAATAATAAATTTTTGTTCATTTTTCATCGGACTTGTGCATTCATTTCATAACGAACCCGTACGCACGCAACAATACTATGGCATGTCATGGACGGAATAAGTACCATATTTCTCAAGCAAACTATATTATTTTTTTATTCTCGTAAAGACTTTTTATTTTTTCTTGACCATAAAATGGTGGAATTCATTAATATCACAGAAAGGGACGGTGCACCAGAGAAAGGGGATCCCAGACCTGGCCAGCATTTTTGAAAGCCTTACAACGTTAAGCACCCCCAACGTCCACAGGCCATGTGAGAGGGCGCCACTGCCCTCGGTCAACCCAGGGGGACTTCACATGTCAGACACCGTCCGTCCCAAAGTGTTGACCGAGGGCCACTCCCGGGACAAATCTGACCATGTAACGTCCCCACATCCGAGGGACAGACAAGACAGTACAGTACGGTCCCTGCCAAGCCTGAACCTATCACCGAATATACGATGAATCTAGTCCTATGAAGACTTATACCCCAGAGGTCGAGGCTATCTAGACATAGGTGTAGACAGTTGGCTGGATAGAACCCCGCATCTCCTCCCAAGAATGGTCCATTCCAGAAATTCCCATGCTGTCGAACGCCTAGGATGGTGTCCGACATCATCAGCCCAGGCGAACCTGCTTACCGGCGAGGGCCACGAGAAGGCGGGTGTCGGACTGGGACAGGACATGCTATAAGGTGGTGCGTCACTGCACCGGCAGCTGCACCCACTCTCAGAAGGTCCAGATTGAACCCCAGATCTCCTCCCATAACATGGTCGGTTCTGGAGATGCAATCCTTTCTAACTTCAAAGGAGTAACAACCACCCCCCACCGCAGAAAGGGACAGTAAAATTTGGAAGGAGCACCAGAATTTCACCTATGGATTTATAGGTATTGCTCTGTCGCAATATTGTACTAGAACAATATCCATCACGGGACACACAGCGCCTAGTTCCTGTAACCAGCCTAGAGAAGAAACCACGACACAGTGTTCAGCGTTGTCACCATTCTCTCACTGAGCTGTTCGTCCATATTAGAAAAACATTCTGCGTTTATTGGTACCTCATTGTATTATATAGCATACAATGTGTATATGATGCATAGTATGTTATACAGTAGACAGAAATTTCAAACTCTGCTCTAAATTTCTTACAGATAAATATAGATCATTTCGTTCACATG